CCCACCCCAGCTGCGGGTCTGAGCACTGTGTCCCCACGGCCCCGGGTCCACCCCCACCCCATCCGCGGGTCTGAGCACTGTCCTTTCTCTGCAGGGCCTGATGAGGCAGCTGGTGCTCCTGCCCGGCTCAGATGCCACCCCCAGCCTGTGCCCCAGCAGTAACGCCCATCTGGCCCAGCTGTCCATCCCTCCCGCACTGCAGGGCTTCCCAGGAGAGCCGGACGACAACGAGGTGCTGAAATATCCCTATGGTTAGTAGTTGAGGCCACAGTGCCCCACCCCAGGGGGTCTGCTGAGATCTAGGACTCTGTGGAGGACTGACCATGGCTCTGTGGAGGACTGTCCATGGCTCTGAGGACTGTCCATGGCTCTGTGGAGGACTGTTCATGGCTCTGAGGACTGTCCATGGCTGAGAACTGTCCATGTCTCTGTGGACTGTCCATGGGTCTGTGGAGGACTGTCCCCAGTCTCTGTGGAGGACTGTCCATGGCTCTGTGGGGGACTGTCCATGGCTCTGTGGGGGACTGTCCATGGCTCTGTGGAGGACTGTCCATGGCTCTGTGGACTGCCCATGGCTCTGTGGAGGACTGTCCATGGCTCTGTGGACTGCCCATGGCTCTGTGAGGGACTGTCCATGGCTCTGTAGACTGTCCATGGCTCTGTGGAGGACTGTCCATGCCTCTGTAGACTGTTCATGGATTTGTGGAGGACTGTCCCCATTCTCTGTGGAGGGCTGTCCATGGATCTGTGGAGGGCTGTCCATGGATCTGTGGAGGACTGTCCATGGCTCTGTGGAGGACTGTCCATGGCTCTGTGGAGGACTGTCCCCGGTGTCCATGGAGGACTGTCCATGTCCATGGCTCTGTGAAGACTGTCCATGGATCTGTGGAGGACTGTCCATGGCTCTGTTTAGGACTGTCCTTGGCTCTGCAGACTGTCGATGGCTCTGTGGAGGACTGTCCATGGCTGTGAGAACTGTCCATGTCTCTGTGGACTGTCCATGGCTCTCTGAAGGACTGTCCATGGCTCTGTGGAGGAATTTCCATGGCTCTGTAGAAGACTGTCCATGGATCTGTGGAGGAATTTCCATGGCTCTGTGGAGGACTGTCCATGGCTCTGTGGACTGTCCATGGCTCTGTGGACTGTCCATGGCTCTGAGGACTGTCCATGGCTCTGTGGAGGACTGTCCATGGCTCTGTGGACTGTCCATGGCTCTGTAGAAGACTGTCCATGGCTCTGTGGAGGACTGTCCATGGCTCTGTGGAGGACTGTCCATGGCTCTGAGGACTGTCCATGGCTCTGTGGACTGTCCATGGCTCTGTGGACTGTCCATGGCTCTGTGGACTGTCCATGGCTCTGTGGAGGACTGTCCATGGCTTTGTGGACTGTCCATGGCTCTGTGGAGGACTGTCCATGGCTCTGAGGACTGTCCATGGCTCTGTAGAAGACTGTCCATGGCTCTGTGGAGGACTGTCCATGGCTCTGTGGAGGATGTCCATGGCTCTGTGGACTGTCCATGGCTCTGTGGACTGTCCATGGCTCTGTGGAGGACTGTCCATGGCTCTGTGGACTGTCCATGGCTCTGTGGACTGTCCATGGATCTGTGGACTGTCCATGGCTCTGTGGAGGACTGTCCATGGCTCTGTGGACTGTCCATGGCTCTGTGGAGGACTGTCCCCGTTTTCCGTGGAGGACTGTCCATGGCTCTATGGAGGACTGTCCATGGCTTTGTGGAGGACTGTCCATGGCTCTGTGGAGGACTGTCCATTGCCCTGTGGACTGTCCATGGCTCTGTGGAGGACTGTCCATGGCTTTGTGGAGGACTGTCCATGGCTCTGAGGAGGACTGTCCATGGCTCTGTGGAGGACTGTCCCTGGTCTCTGTGGAGGACTGTCCATGGCTCTGTGGAGGACTGTCCATGGCTTTGTGGACTGTCCATGGCTCTGTGGAGGACTGTCCCTGATCTCTGTGAGGGACTGTCCATGGCTCTGTGGAGGACTGTCCATGGCTTTGTGGACTGTCCATGGCTCTGTGGAGGACTGTCCATCGCTCTGTGGTCTGTCCATGGCTTTGTGGAGGACTGTCCATGGCTCTGTGGAGGACTGTCCATGGCTCTGTGGAGGACTTCCCCTAAGACATCAGGCCTCTTGACTTCTGCCTTGTCTCCTGGCTGGTCCATGCCCAGGGCCCTGGGAGGCAGAATGTGCTGTCAGGTCAGCCAAAGCCACCTCCTCTCCCCTCTGAAGGCCGTGCCTGGCCGGGCCCTGGGCAGATCCCTTTCCCTTCCCAAGCACCTTGGGCAGATGGCAGCCATGGCTCCCTTTAGAAACACCTTCTTTGGAGCAAACCCCCTGCCCCGAGGTGCCTGGCGCTGTTCTGTGATCCCTGCGGCCTGGCTGGGTGCTGCCTGCGGGCATCTGAAACCACGCCCGCCGGCTGCAGACACAGAGCGCCCCTCCTGAGGCAGGGGGAGAGCAAGGGGGGCTCGTGATGCACAGAGCTCCCACCAAAGCGCGACCCAGCTGGGCGGTGCGGGCCCAGCTGCTGGGCGGACGGTCACGTGGAGCCGGCTGCAGACCAGCTACACCCACGGCCAAGAGACCCGAGACGCATGCGTAGCTCACACTTACACCAATAAGGATGTGTCCTGAGCACAGAGCCCCGCAGTTACCCAGCCCTCCGCAGAGAGGCTGGTGGGGCGTCCATGTCCAGGCCTGCACCTCGAGGCTGGCCACAACCCAGTCTGCCTGACCTCCCGTCCGACACGCGGCCCCCTCCCCATCTCCACAGACGCCAACGTGCGAGTGACCCTGGGCACACAGCCACCCTGCTCTCGGGCCCAGGAGGCCCAGTTCTGGTTTGATGCCGTCCGGAGGGGGCTGTACCTGTGCACACGCGGACAGTGGCTCTCGGTGTTGGCAGGTGAGGCTTCCTGAAGACAGGGCATTCATGCCCTGGGTGTGCAGGGACCCCCACACACACACCCCACAGGCCCACACACACCCCGCAGACCCCCACACACGCCACAGGCCCACACACAGCCCACAGACCCACACACACACCCCACAGACCCACACACACCCCACAGGCCCACACACAGCCCGCAGACCCACACACACACCCCACAGACCCACACACACCCCCCGCAGACCCACACACACCCCGCAGACACACACACACCCTGCAGACACACACACACACCCCATGGACAGGGCTCAGCTGTGGGCTGTGGACCCAGGGCACAGCCGGTAGGAGCCCTGGGTCTTGGGACCCGCTTTGGTTTGGACACCTTGTGTAAGCTGTGTCCCATTCCTACCTCTGGAAGGGGTGCAGATCCCACAGCCAGGGAGAGCAGCCTCCCCCTGTATGTCTCCCCCAAGAGTGAAACAAAGGCCCAGGAAATATTCATGCAACCAGCACCATGGACAGGGCTGGGCCCCCAGGGTGTCTGGGCTCCACACCTGGCCATGCTCACTGGGTCGCGATCTTCCCATCACCAGCCAAGGCCAGGCTAGACTACGTGGAGGAGCATCAGAGCCTGTTCACCAACTCGGAGACGCTGGGCATGGAGACCTTCCGCATCCCAGGGGCGGGCCTCTTCGTGGCCACAGCCAATCGGAAAGCCAGGTCCACCATCTACAAATGGGAGGATGGAAAGTTTGTCTCCTATCAGAGCATCCCCACACACCAGGCCCAGTCCTGGCGACACTTCACCATTGGGAGAAAGGCAAGTCTGCGGGGGACCTCCCCTTCCTAGCAGTCCTCGGGCTGGGTCTGCACGCTCCCCTTCTTCTCAGGCTCCGACACCTTCCCCAGGGAGAGAGGTGGTGGACACAGCGCTGAGTCAGAGAAGTCCCACAGTAGCCTCGGGACCAGCTCCTGGGCAGGATCTGCACACAACGCGTTTTCCAAATTTTGAATTTGTTTTGCTTTCCAGTGGAGGCCATGGGGGATTTTAATGAATTTGACTGCCAGGTTTGGAGAGGAGAGCGCTGGCTCTGAGCTACCCCTCAGCGATCACAACATAGGCTGGGCTAGGCCAGTGCGCACACGCGTGTGCACACACGTGCACACATGTGCACGCATGCACGCACGCATGCACACGCACATGCGCACACGCAACGCATACATGCACACATGCATGCACACGCACACATGTGCACACACATGCATGTGTGCACACATGCACGCACACACACGCGCACACACACATGCACACATACCCTCTCCACGGGCATGGGTGAGGCAGTCAAGTACAGAAACAACACAGGTCACTCTCTGCAGGGATCAGAGTGGACTGACCTGGTCAGTGCCCTGTGCCAATCAGAGCAGAATGACCTGGTTCTCCTTTTTCAGATCTTCCTGGCTGTGGCTAATTTTGGACCAAATGAAAAGGGCCAGGAGTTCTCTGTGATTTACAAATGGAGCCCCAGAAAGCTGAAGTTCGTCCTGTATCAGAGGATTGCCACCCACAGTGCTCGGGACTGGGAGGCCTTCACGGTGGACGGGGAGCACTTCCTGGCAGTGGCCAACCACCGGGAAGGTAGGGCGGCAGCGGTGGCCCATGACCTAGAAGGCATTAAAAGTAATACCCGGACATTTGTGATGCACGCCTGTAATCCCAGCACTTACAACTGAGGCAAGAGAATTGCAAGTTTGAGGCCAATCCCAGCTATATAGTGAGACCCTGTCAAGAAGAATGGATGAAAGGAAGAAAAGAGGAAGGAAGAAGGAAAGGAAGAGGAGGAAGGAAAGGAGGAGGAATGAAGGAAAGCAGGGGAAGGAAGGGAGGTGGGTCGTGCCTGGGCCATTCCCGGGAGTCCAGCCTTAGACATCTGGATGCTTGCTCACACAAACGCCTGCACACCTGCCTAGGTCAGGAGACCCCAGAAGACGTGAGCTACCGAACCCCAGCCTGCAATCTGCCCCTGGCCGCCCTCCTGATTTGGAGGTAACCAGCCTGTCCTGGGAGGGTCAGGCTGGCGCAGTGAGCAAGGGGGACGCTGGCCGCAGGCCACCCCGGTGGACGGCGTGGCGGTCTGGTGGCCCCATCCACCGAGGGACAGTGCTCATTCTGAGCAACCGTGTCAGAAGCTGGTGGGCAGCGCAGCCTGGCCGGGGCCCGGAGGTCAGGCTCCCAGGCCCCGCTCCCGCCATGTGTGACTGGGGGCCAGTGAGTCTCCCCAGGCCTAAAGCTCTGGGCTGGTGTGGAGAGGTCCGCACACGTTCATGCTGCAGGGGACTCTGACCCGTCCTCCGACAGCCACACAGCATTTGCCCGGGTGTGCGCCCCACCAGGCAGGCCCGGGGGTCTGAAGCCGTTCCACTCAGGGTCCAGGGGCCATGGCCAGAGCGTCCTCAGGGCCAGCACTCCAGCAGAATGGGCCTGGGAACCGCTGGCCATGGAGGGGGGCTGTGGGGGAGCATCACTGAGAGCATGGGACTTTCGGGGGCACTGTCGGGGAGCCCTGAGGGAGGGGCCCCTGACCGTCCTCCTCCACGGGGCTCGCTGACAGTGCTCTTTTGGAAAGCGTGGTAGCCCAGGAGGTTTTTGCTGGGGACGGAGCCTCCACCCGGGCCGGGACGGCCAGGCACTGGGGGCGGGATGGCTCGATGGCTGGGCACATCTTGTGCAGCCGCTGGTGCGGGACCCGAGGGGTGCGGGCGTGAGTGGGGCTGCCGTGTCCCCACCCCCACACGGAACCCTGGTTCCAGGCGACAACCACAACATCGACAGCGTGATCTACAAGTGGAGCCCCACCACCCAGCTCTTCGAGGCCAACCAGAGCATCGCCACGTCGGGCGCCTACGACTGGGAGTTCTTCACGGTGGGGCCCTACTCCTTCCTGGTGGTGGCCAACACCTTCAACGGCACCTCCACCCGCCTGCACTCGCACCTCTACATCTGGCTGGTGGGCGCCTTCCGCCTCTTCCAGTCCTTCCTGGTAAGACCTGCCGCCCGCAGACCCCGGAGTCTGCCCCGTGCGCCTGCTGGACCCGCGATCCTGGGCGGGCCCCAGAGCCTGAGCCTCCCAGGCACAGGCTCCTTCCCAGGAAGACAGCCTGTCGGGGTGGGGACAGTACCCCGCCCAAGGCGGGGGGCTGACCAGGGTGGGGTGCTCGCATGGGTATGCCCCAGCTCTGCCCGCCCCAGCAGGGGTCGGGTCTCCGCCCTGGTGGCCAGGCAGCTTGGCTGTGGCCTGGGGGGTGGGGTGAGGTGTTTGGGGGAGCGTCTCCCTTTAGGCTGGAGGCCTGACCCCATGCATCTCACCCGTGTGGGGATGGGGGGCGCTGAGAGCAGGGGTGTGGAGAAGTCCCCTGGGGGGCCCGCCACGGCCCCCCGCGCCAGCCTGCATCCAGGTCCTGGGGCCGGGCCGAGGGCCGCAGCCCCGCCCAGCGCCCCACAGGTCAGCTGCACCGCAGGCGCTGGCATGGCCACTGGGACAGCAGCCCTGGGGCAGAGGCCGGGAGGCACGGCTGCCGGGCCGTCAGACAGACAGACCCGGCCTGCAAAGAGCGGTGGGGCCTGCAGGCCGGCGCTGGGCGTGGGTGCCGGCGTGGGTGGGGGGAGCCCTCCCGCCCTCCCGCCCTCCCGCCCTCCTGCACTCCCGCCCTCCTCTGCCCTAGACATTTGGCGCCGCGGACTGGGAGGTTCTCCACATCGGGGACAGGGTCTTCCTGGCCGTGGCCAACAGCCACAGCTACGACGTGGAGACGCAGGTTCAGAACGACTCCTACGTCCTCAGCTCTGTCATCTATGAGCTGAACGTCACCGCGCAGAGCTTCATCAAGTTTCAGGACATCTCCACCTGCAGGTGGGGGGGCTGCGCAGGAGGGGGGCGGGGCGGGTCTGGGGCGGGCCACCTCCCGCCAGTTCCTCCCCGTGTCTCCGGAACCGTCCGACTGGCAGATGCACAGAGCGGATCTCAGGGAATTTTTTCAATCCAAAAGAAAAATAAAAAATCCTGAGACCAGGAGATCAAGCTCCGTGCCTGGCTCAGACCCAGAGCCAAGCCGGGGAGGCTGCCGCCACAGCCGCCACGGCCGGAGAGCCACGGTTCCCACTACGGGGCACATGGGCACGTGACAAGGGGGCCCTGCCAGGATCCGCTGCAGTCAGATGTGCCGGGGCGCTTCGGAAGGAAGCTAGAGGGAGATGCGGAGCCAGCGGGAGCCAGCGGTGGCAGTGACCTGCCTCTCTCACGCCGCACCCTCTTCCTCCACAGTGCTCTGGACTGGGAGTTCTTCTCCGTGGGGGAAGACCACTTTCTGGTGGTCGCCAACTCCTTCGATGGAAACTCCTTCTCCGTGAACAGTATTATTTACAGGTAAAGACCAGCCAGGGCCGCCCCTCCTGCCTCAGCGCTCACCTGCCCTGCCAGGGCTCCCCAGCGTAGGCCGGGCCAGGCCTCGTGGTCAGGTGAGGCTGGATTTGTGAAGAACTGTAAGCATCATGAATGAGTGTTACTTCCATTCCCCGCAGCCCACCCTGGGAGCCTCAGGCGCCTGGCTCTAGTTTTTGCCTGACAGCCTCAAGGACCTAGAGATGCAATCATATCTGAGAACAAAGACAGCTTTGCCCTCTGCTCTCTAAAGCCGCTACTGCTTCCCTGCTTCCGGTTCGCCTGCTTGCTGGTCTTGACTGTGCTGTGTGCTGCGGCACGGACTCGGGCCCACGCTGGAGAGGCAGGCGCTCCACACTCATCTCGGCCATTGTGCTGTCCTTTGCTTTTCAGACACAGTGTAGACTTGGCCCAGGGCTGGCCTGGGACCGTCCTCCTCGCTCTGCCTGCAGCAGCTGGGGCTGCAGCTGTGCGGCGTTGTGGCCGCTTCCTTTCTTGGTTTTCTTAACTAGCTACAAGCTGCAGAGCAGCCTTGGCCAGCACAGCGGCCTCTGCCCATGAGGAGGCCGCTGCGTGTGGGGTTGGCGGGAAGGTACGATGGTGCCCTCCTCTGGCCTTGGCGCTTGCTCTGCTTGTGGCTTCCTGTGGTGCTGGGTATGGTTTCTCTCTGAATGTATTGATGGTAGCCTGCTGCTTGGTGACGTCCCAGAGAATGCATCATTGCTCTATGTATGGCGGGATTCCATGGCTGCTGTGTAAGAGTTGTACAATGGAAATGAAGTTGCTCTGTGATGCCTGTGGGGACTTTCCGGACTAATTCATAAATGTTCTCTGCAGTGTTTTCTCACTCTGCCCAGGGGTCTGAACAGTTGAACTAACAGGTGTAATTGTTTCCTATGCCTGGGGTAAGTTTATTTACAAGCCATGCGGACCTGGCGCATTCTCAGTCTCGGCCTTGAGGTGGTATTTTCAGGTCTCCAGCTCTCTTCACTTAGTTTTGATCGTGTCTTTACTAAAAGAAACATCCGATTTCCTTAGACTTCAAATCTATCATGCTAAAAGCAGCATGATAAAATAATTCCAAAATGGATGTGGGGGGAATTCTTTAAATGACCAAAGAAACTTTGGGAAAAAGGCAGTGAAGGAGGAAGCGGCCCGTCAATCCACAGCTAAGTAGATGATCCTCCTGCCCTCCGGTGAGCACAGGGATGGCTGTGCTGGTTATGGCTCAGTGGTAGAGTGCTTACCTCCCTCTCTGGGGCCCTGAGTTTCATCCCCAACCACACAGGAAGCAGATAGGTGGGATGAAGAGCCAAGAACTGATACTGTTTAACGTGATACGTGATATATTTAAGTCTGGAGTGATATATTTAAGCCTGGAGTTCGTAATAAAGTAACCTCATACAATTTGTGATCTATCTGGAGGAAAACAAAGCTAAACCCTTACTGCATACCCACATTCAAAAATTAATCTATATGGATTAAAAACCAAATGTAAGGATAGGCATGGGGAAAATCCCAAATATAAAAATTTCAACAAGAGGATTATGGGAGAGCCAGGAACGGGATTCACACGGGTGTACCAGCTGCCCGGGGGCGTGGGGGGGTAGGCAAAGGGCAGCCCGGCCGGACCCCTCTCACCACCCGAGTCCTCCCTGCAGAGAGGCTTAGGTAGGAAGATCACAGTTGCAGGCCAGCCCGGGCAAACCTGACCCACTTCCTGGAGGGGAGAGCTGGGGGTGGCCTGCAGAAGCTGTCTGTCCGTCCCAGGGCCCCACACGGGCACGGGAGGACAGACCCTTGGGGGATAGAAGGTGGATTTTCATTGAGAAAAGCGGCCAAGGCTCTGACCGAGGAAACTGCTACAAGTTTGTTTGTACCTGCAGGGTGGGAGGGTGGACAGTTCCGAGTTGGCGGGCTGGACTGGGCTGGAAAACAGCCCAGGGAAATGTGAAAAGCAAAGCCTGTGCCCCCCAACAACAACCTAGCCACGCGTGGACACTACACCTCGTGCACGGGGCACGCCCCGCGGCCAGGCCTCCTGGTGTTGGGGTGCGGAGCAGAGCAGGGGCCACGAGCACGGTTCAGGGGGTTAGAGCGGAGGGCACTGCTCCTGCTGGGGCCTTGTGTCCGCCAGCCCAGGGCGGGGCCGTGCCCAGTCCCGCCCCACCCACTGCCAAGGAATGGCCAGTCCCACCCCGCCCACAGCCAAGACGACCCGAGGGGCGCCCAGAGACACGCCCCACCCACTGCATGGCCAGTCACAGCCCCGCCCTCCAAGGCCCCGCCCACGGCCAAGGCGTGGCCTGACATGGCCCCTCCCACAGCCAAGGCCCTGCCCACAGCATGCCATGTCCATCTGTCCCACAGACCCCCTGGGGGCAGTGGAGTCACACTGTGTCCATCTGTCCCGCAGACCTGGGGACGGTGGGCCTATACCGTGTCCATCTGTCCCGCAGACCTGGGGACGGTGGGCCCACACCGTGTCCATCTGTCTGCAGGTGGCAGGGCTACGAGGGCTTCGTGCCAGTGCACAGCCTCCCCACCGTGGGCTGCCGGGACTGGGAAGCCTTCCACACGGCCACCGGCTCCTTCCTCATCTACTCCAGCGCCAAGGAGCCGCTGTCCCGGGTCCTGCAGCTCAGGACCATCTGAAGGCCAGGGCAGCCGCAGCCAGCCGGACTCCACCGACCCGACCAGCTCTCCACGCCCTGCTGGGGCCGCACTGACTGCCCGGCGGCCCTGGGCCCAGCAGGCCGAAGCCCCCACCCTGGCGCAGCCCCCGAGTCCAGCAGATTCGGCCTCTGGGCAGCTTCCTCCAGTCTTACCTCACTCAGCCTCAGCCCTTGGCGCAGCCCGTGTGGGCCCTGACTATTTATTGTATTTTATCTACAGGCAAATATATTTATATCACTCTGTCCCAAAGGGCAGCGCAGCGTCCTGCTTGCCCGGGCCGGGCCGGGGACACGCGCACGGCCCCAGCCATGGGGGCGGGAAGCCCTTCTTGCAGGCAGCTGCTTCTGCGGCCTCAGTGCCCCTGCAGATGCTTTGGGGACAGGGCTAGGCCCCATCCCCACCCAGGTCCCCGGTGGAGGCCGCAGCGCCCCTTCTCTGGCCAGTCACCCAGTCCCCGCAGCTCCACTGTGTGTGCAGAGGGCTCTGCCTCCCACGTCCAAGGCCCCCGCCCTTTCCCTGCTCCAGGCTCAGGGCATCGGGGTGTGGGCTCATGTGGGGGTTGGGAGGCTCGGTGCGGGCTGGGATTCTCCAGGGTCCTCACCTCAGCGCCCAGGAGAGGAAAACTCCAGGGAGCTGCAACGTGGCTGCACAGGGGGCCAGGTGGAGCCCGTCATGGATCAGAGCAAGTGGACCAGGGCCAGCACGGAACCAGGGCAGCCCCGTGGCCGGCATGGCCAGGGCAGCCCCACGGCCAGGGCGCCCAGGGCCAGCACGTGAACGGGGCAGCCCCACGGCCAGGGCGCCCAGGGCCAGCATGGGAACGGGGCAGCCCCACGGCCAGGGCGCCCGGGGCCGGCACGGGAGCAGGACAGACTCACGGCCAGGGCGGGACACGTGGAGGGAACGCGGGGGCAGTGCCCCGCTAGGCCTGTGGGGCAGACAGGCCGTCTGGAAAGCCGGGACGGAGGTGGAGCGAGTCACCTTGGGACTACTTCTGAAGAATCCCCAGAAACTCGCTCACAGGGGTGCAGCCACAGAGAAGCGGGGAGAGCCTGAGCAGCAAAGAGCCTGCCTCCTCGCCTGTGTTGATTAAACCACGTGTTTGCTGACACGCAGAGAGCTTGCGGATGAGATTAGTTTTAAAATCTGAATGGGAGGTGAAGCAGAAGGGCGGGCCTCATCCAATCAGAGGAAGGACTCTGCGGCCAGCCCCGCCCAGCTCCGGGCAGGGTGACCTGGATGTCTCTGCGCCTCTGTGCGCCGAGGGGGCTGCTGGGGTGTCTGATGGCCCTGGGGCTGGTGCCAGGTGTGGGGGGGGGGTGGTGACACACATGTCACACCGTACACGGAGTGGGGAGCTGCGGGCACGGCTGCCAGGGCTCTGCTGTCCTCAGAGCCCATGCAGGATGGGTGGCAAAGGCCGCAGCCGCCCGGCCCGCTGGGGAGGGGGGGGGGAGCGCAGACGAGAAGCTAACCCTGTATGCAGGATTTCTGAGTTACAAATGCAAGCCTGAGGGCAGTGTAGAGAGGGCTCAGCTACGTGTAGCGGCCATCTGTGCTTCTGGATTCTGTCTGCAGACCCGGCTGCTGGGTGCATGCTGGGTGCTTGCAGGCCCCTGCTCTGCTGCCCGCACACTCGCCAGCCAGCTGCTGCTCGGGACAGGCTGGTGGGCTGAGCCGGTGCTTCTTACTCATCCACGGGAATTCTTGTCACTATAAAGGCATTGTTGTACAGTCTCCCTCCTGCAATTATTCCCAGAGCTGCCCTTGGCAGCTTCTCCCTCTGCTCCTTGCTCCTGAGCTTTGCTCCCTACAGTCCTGACCAAAGACCGGGATAGCTGCGTGTGACCTCACCGCGTCTGCGTGTGACCTCACCGCATCAGCAGCTGCGTGTGACCTCACCGCGTCAGCAGCTGCATGTGACATCACCGCGTCAGCAGCTGTGTGACATCACCGCGTCAGCAGCTGCGTGTGACATCACCGCGTCAGCAGCTGTGTGACATGACCGCGTCAGCAGCTGCGTGTGACATCACCGCGTCAGCAGCGGCGTGTGACATCACCGCGTCAGCAGCTGCGTGTGACATCACCGCGTCAGCAGCTGTGTGACATCACCGCGTCAGCAGCTGCGTGTGACATCACCGCGTCAGCAGCGGTGTGTGACATCACCGCGTCAGCAGCAGTGTGACATCACCGCGTCAGCAGCTGTGTGACATCACCGCGTCAGCAGCTGCGTGTGACATCACCGCATCAGCAGCTGTGTGACATCACCGCGTCAGCAGCTGCGTGTGACATCACCGCGTCAGCAGCTGCGTGTGACATCACCGCGTCAGCAGCTGCGTGTGACCTTACCGCGTCAGCAGCGGCGTGTGACATCACCGCGTCAGCAGCGGCGTGTGACATCACCGCGTCAGCAGCGGCGTGTGACATCACCGCATCAGCAGCAGTGTGTGACATCACCGCGTCAGCAGCTGCGTGTGACATCACCGCGTCAGCAGCTGCGTGTGACATCACCGCGTCAGCAGCGGCGTGTGACATCACCGCGTCAGCAGCTGCGTGTGACCTCACCGCGTCAGCAGCTGCGTGTGACCTCACCGCGTCAGCAGCTGCATGTGACATCACCGCGTCAGCAGCTGCGTGTGACCTCACCGCGTCAGCAGCTGCGTGTGACATCACCGCGTCAGCAGCTGCGTGTGACATCACCGCGTCAAAAGCGGCGTGTGACATCACCGCGTCAGCAGCGGCGTGTGACATCACCGCGTCAGCAGCGGCGTGTGACATCACCGCGTCAGCAGCTGAACTAGTTAGTGTGCTCTGTGCAGAGCTCTCGTTGCTCACCTGCTCCTCTGCACCTCACCCTCCACCCCACAGACACCCGGCACCCAGATGCACATCCCCACGCGTGCAAACACTCATGTACACACACACAGGTGCACCAGTGCTAATGCATGCACACGTCTACACAAATCTCAGCAATGCAGCCATGGCTCGTCACCAGCAACAGACCACGAACAAGATCCTCCCACGCCTGGCCAGCTCTTGCCTGAGGGACGGTGTTCTCGCGGGCTCCGCTGTGGTGTGGTGAGGCTGCTCCTCCAGGGAGCTGAGGGTTGGGGAGGGGAGGTCGGGGCGGGGCTGAGCACATCAGCTGACAACTCCAGACACAAGCCACACAGCCACACAGGTTTAGCACCTAGGAAGAGGCACTGATCACAGAAATGCCAGCCCAGACGCTGTCACCTGCGTCACACGCTCACCCCGCAGGCCGGGGCAGCGCGGCTCCTGCCGTCAGCCGGGGAAGCAGTGAGCGCCCTGCTGGGCGGGGGATGGGCGTGTCGCCCGCTGCAGAGCCTCCGGCTTGTGCCCCAGTTATTGCGATTTCCAGATTGACAGACTGGCGGCCTTGGGGGGCACAGGGCTGTGCCACGTCCTCCTGTCCTGGCCATGCTGGCCTGTGACCACGTGACACACAGAGGCCCTTGGAGCAGGAGTTGAGCTGGTGACACCAGGACAGCCTTGCTGGCCGGCACCGGTCAGTGCCCAAGATGACCTGCTCTGGGCACATGGCGCAGCTGCCCAGCCCACACATCCACTCACCTGTCTGCCAAGAGAGGGATCCTGGTAGGGCCTAGCCAGACACCCACCCTGCACACAGGCCTTGAGCCCTTGAGCCCGGGCAGGTCCACACCCATCACCCACCTTCGCTCCTCTGACGTGGCTCACGCGGCTCCAGCCCTGGGCCGACCGTGTAATGGTGCCTCCCTTCCCTCGGCCCAAGGATCAGCTCCTCTGGAATGTGCCTCCTGCCTCGATCCGCACAGGCACCCTCCAGCCCGGCCCAGGACCGGGCGGGGGAGCTTCCTCCGGGCCCCTGTGCGCAGCCCCCAGCCGGCCGCCGCCTGCCGGCGCCAGGGCATCTGCTCCCTGCCTGGCCTGCATCATCGCCATGGTGACAGGTGCAGAGCCCGCGCAGCGGCTCCTCCGGCGCCGTGCAGGCAGCCAGGCTGTGGCCCTGTTTTGCCTCACTGGCTGGCCACTGGCGCTGGCTGGTGCGGTACCACCCAGCACGGGCCGTTGTGTTTTGACAGGGCCCCTCCCAGGGTCCTGAGGGAACACACACGTCCAGGCTCGGTGCCAAAGACCCAGGCTCTAGTTCAGCGCTGCCCCCAAGTGAACCCCGGCTCCCAACCCCTCCCTCGGGGCCCAGAACCTTGCTTCCCCTCTGAGAACACAACCCACCACCCAGCACCCCAAGAACAAACCCGACCTCCCTTGAGAGCAAACTGGCTCCTGTCCCCTCCCAGGGGGGCCGCCCGCCCCGCCAGGAGCCGCCCCACACCGTGGGCTGAAGACAAACGGCTCCCAGGAGCCGCGCAGCGGGAGCTGACTTTACACATCTTCCTGGAAAGAGGCCGAGAGGCCGCCCACTCCTGCGCTGTGGCCATGCGCTGCCACGGGCCCAGAACCTTCCTCCTCCACAGCCTGAGTCCTCCCTGCTCCCAGGGAGCCCAGTCCGCACTGAGGCCCAGTGCCCACCCACACCTGACTGGTGGGGCGGGCAGCCCGGAGGTGCGCTCACCCCACAGCCCCTGCCAGGCTGGGTCTCGGCGCGGGCCCCTCTGGGGGCCACCCCACCTGCTTCCCGGGGAGTCCCAGCTCTCCTGTGCCCACCCTTCCCCCCCCCCCGCTGGCCCCTAATCTCCCCCACCTGCCACCAGCGCCTGCTTCCTCTGACGCCAGAGCTGGGCGCCCGCGCTGCCCACATCTGTGACCTGTGGCCCGGCCAGAGGCCCAGCGAGCACTGTGCCTCCCGAGGCCGCGGCCTGGGGTCGAGGGTTCCAGCTGTCACTGGAAGCAGCAGGGCCGCGCCTGGTGTGGGCCCCGGGCCCTGCAGATCCCCGGCGAGGACGGCAGCAGGCTTTGAGCCCTGCCTCCCACCACAAGCCTGGCTCGCGTCGGGACTCCATTCACGCTGCACGTGCTGGGCATGCGGGCCCCAGACAGCCCCCCCCCATCTGCCCCACAGGACACTGCTTGAGTGCAGGTGTGGGCGTGGTCTCTAGACCCTGAGGGCCATTTCTCCTTAACACACCACCAGGACTAAAGAATCATGACTTGGTTCTGCTGTGCTGTGGGCCTGTTTCCGTGATGCTGACAGGTTGGCCCAAGCCGGCGTGGTCACGTGACTGTGCTCCTGTCTGGAGCCAGCGTGGGCACAGCCCTGGCACGCAGTGGTACCGACGCCAGACCAGACCTCAGTGGCCTCACTCCTCCACTGCAAGCCACACAACACTTTGCAGATCACAAGCCACAAACAAGCTCAAGTTCTAACCAGTTCTCTTCTTGATTAGGCATCTATACTTGAAGCTCATAACCAATTTATACTTATTTGTTCCCCACACACACAGATATCTGAAGTAGCTTAAAGTGTAACATACAAAAACACAGTAGAAAGTAAAATTAGAAATGAAGAGTCATAGACGTGGAAGTCACAGCTACCCTGAATAGGAAGTAAGTTGGGTAAGAAAACTGAGCAACAAATGAGCTCTGAAGTTCCTGGCAGCAGAAGTGAAGAGAAAAAGTTGTTGCTGGAGAAGAGAAGCATCCATTGAACAGCCTGGAAACATCCAACAGCAGTCCTTCTGTCCTTTGTAGAGAGGTTTCGGACATGGGTGGTACAAAAGCAAGGCACGGGAGTGAGCGGTCCGCAGCGGCCTCCGGCTGGGTACTGGAAGCAGGAAGGGCTGTTTTGCTGGGTTTTTGTGGCAGCCACCTGCACTCTGTAGACGCGGGTTGGACCTTTCTCCACCCCGGGGATCAATGGACTAAAATTTTGGCACAATGCTTGCTCAAACATTCTGAAGACAAAGGTTAGTAAAAGCTCCAAATTCCACTGACTTCTCTAGAAAACTGGTCTTCAGAGCTTTGCACTGGACAAACGGCCACCGCCTTTCGTGTTCTGATGTGTGTGCACCAGGCAAACACTGGCCGGCCACCCAAGGGCCAACCTGCCTGTGGTGTCACCATGAGTCAGCACCCCTCCAGGCCTGGGGGCCCTCCTCCTCTGTGTCCATTCTCACATCACCGCGTCCCCCAACCGTAGTACCCCTTTCTCTAAGCCTGTTTCCTTGCACACGCCCCCCCATCCCAGGGCAGGGGTGCTCGCCCGTGCCTCCCAAGGAAGCGCTTTTCACACGGAAAAGGCCAGTGCCCAGCCTCCCTCCCTGGAGGACACGGCATGGTCTCCACCGCTTCCAAAGCCTGCGTGGGGAGGGACGGCGTGCGGGCGCTAGGGCGCGGGGCCCTGGGCGTCCTTGGCGGCGGGGGCGCTGGGCAGCGACTTCAGGTACTCCAGGTGTCTCCTGGCGTCCTCCTGGTTGTGCCTCACGTAGTAGACGACGTAGGTGACGACCATGGCAAACCAGCCGAACATGGTGACCAGCATGGCCACGTCGGTGGTCTTGCGGTGGGCGCTGCAGAAGCTGACGCCCGAGTCCAGCACCTGGATGAGCGGCTTCCCCACGAAGGCCTCCTGCGCGGCGGAGTGGCAGGCGATGTGGTCGACCGAGTCGGGGTCCAGCTTCAGCTCCCACAGCGCCTCTTGCAGCGCGCACTCGCAGTGCAGCGGGTTGTGCGCCAGGCGCACCTGCGCGCTCAGCGTGCCCAGCGCGGCCTTGGGGATCCTGCGGATGCGGTTGTGGGACAGGTCCAGCAGCCGCAGGCCCCCGGCCAGGCCCGAGAAGGCCGACGGGCCCACGGCCTCGATGGCGTTGCGGGACAGGTCCAGCTCCCGCAGCTGCGGCAGGTGCTGGAAGGCCCCGTTGGGGACGCGGGAGATCTCGTTGCCGTCCAGCTTCAGGAGCACGGCGTCGGCCGGGATGCCGCCCGGGATCTCGCGCAGGCCGCGCGCGCTGCAGTGCAC